GAGAGAGAGAGAGAGAGAGAAGGGAGGGGGCTTGTTGTGTGCAGGAGAGAGAGTGAGAGATTACATCATAACTAGCCTCATCATCGGCCAATTAATTGTGAGGCATCATTCCTAACAGCGCTTTTAGCACCCTAACACCAGCGCCACGTTTTTGGGACATTCACCGTGCATACAGACAAATCTGCACACTGCTATGTCCCACAGGGTTTTTGTTTTTTAATCTTATCAGTAAATCTATTTCAGTTACATTGTCCTGTCTCTGAACCAGCATCATTCTGCTGCATATAACAAGACTGTTGGTAAACTCATATTAAGGTGGTTATGTGAAGCTGGTGCTGAGTATCTGTTTATGACAGTCACTGAGGGGACTCATCATTTCACTGTGGGTGCTGTAAACTGATGAATGTTTTGTATCCTCTGATTTCTGTGCTGGTTGAATGTTTTGTATCCTCTGTTTTTTGTGCTGGACCTGTACAATGAATCTTTTCCAGACAAAAAAAGTTCAAATGTGCTGTGCATTGACTCTAAATTATGACCCTGAGATTTTGATACAATGCATTCAGCAGTCTCTAGTAGCTCACAGCAAGATGATCAAGCCAGATCTTGCAAGTCTATGTCAAGTCCCTTATGGTTGTAATGAGTATCATTTGCAGCGTGCCATCCAGACTGCTTAGAACACTGCACTGCTATACTAGGGAATTCAATCCCTATACTACATTATCATCACTCTCATCTCTCCATTACCTATACTATTGGCATACCGTATCAGCATTGATTAGATGTTTGCTATATTATATATATATATAAATTGATATTGATGTTTACTCAGGGTAAGAGGAAAGTACTGCTAACATCACTGGTATGGAATAACAACTGAAACCTATTTTTCAATAGCATTAAAGAGTACAGTCATATCGTGTAATTAGACCGGGTCACCAACTACTGATGGCTTATAGTCTACTCTAAATTATCCCATTGCTGTAGCCTCTCAAGCTCAGTGTAATGGTAGCCTAACAAGCCTGTAAAGTTACATGGTCAACAGTAACCTGCTTGTAGCTCATGTTAATTAACATGGTCTTTCTCTCAGTTTAACGTTAGCTGTCAGATGGTGATAGAGGAACGCGAGTCATTAATTACCCAGTCATGTCGATAGTCAACGTAAAGCCAGCACTCTGTGTGAACAAATGTGGCAGGCAAATGGATGCTCACTCATCTTTTGAAAACTTTCAACGATTGCCAATCTAATAAGTTAACATCCTTAGCTTGAAAGCTAGTAACATTCTAATGTTAGATAGCTGATGCTGAGCTAACACATTTGCTAACATACTGTAGGAATTAACATGAACTTGTCTTAAACATTACCAACCAGATAAAATGGCAGAGCAGCTACTGGTGTTGTCATGGTGTTGTTCCTCCAGCTTACATTCATCACTGGCAGTGTGTGCCGTGCATGTGTAAGGTTAGGCACGCTAATAGGAAAGCGAATATTATTCAGCTCGACAAACATTTCCTTAATGTTAATGTGCAAAAAAGAGAGTAAAAAAAAAGATTGTGTTCAACTCCTTAATCTTGAGGCCAAGTCAAGTCTCAAGTCTTTTGAGGCCGAGTCTCAAGTCAAGTCCAAGTTGCAAACTCGAGTCCCCATGTCTGGCTCACAGTGCTATGAACTGGTTTTACTTATCAAGACAAAGGATTTGCTGAGGTTTGTTCTTCACATTCAGACGGATTCATAGGAACTCTTCAGGAAAACCACAGTCTGCTGTGTCACTGGAAGAAAAGGCTAAAAGGTGACACCATTGGTTTTCTTTGGGCTGGTTTCTTCTATCTCCGCATACATTCAGCATAAGAACTAATTTTGCTCCTTCTTCCAAAAGAACAAAATGCCTGCATACTGATACTTGCTCATTATGACGGGCACAAAAAGAGAGAGTAACCATTTATCAATTCTGTATCAGTGTCCAGTGTCCAAGCAAATAACATTTTTCCTGGTTCATCATGACCTGACCTCAATGAGGTCTAAGATGAGTAACACTGCAGCACTGTAGTATGTCTCCTGTTTTGTTTCATTTACCATATGAACACTTGTCCTCGCACTTTTAACATAGAGTTTTGCCATACTGACCCGATTTGTCACTGAAATGTATCCCACAAGTTTATTAATTATGTAGGATACTGAAGAGACAGTGCACATCTTTTGTCTGTCCAGCCATTTGAACTCTAGTTCTGGTTGAAGCAAACATTAAAAAAAATTGTATATTACACAAAATACAAATATACATTATCTTCAGTTTGAAGATTTACTTAAGGAACTACAGTTTAAAAGCATGAAACAAGGGTTTTTCTTCAGAGCATACATGCTGTGTAAGCTGATTCTGGTTTGGAGCTATAGGCCAACCTAGATGCAGCCACTAAGAATGTTATCAGCCCATTAAATGATGATTATCAGCTTGTTGCTCAGTAGGTCGTTATCACATGTCAGGCCTCTCTTTTGTTTGTAATATTAAAACAGAGCATACCAGGTTTAGGCACAGAGAATGTAAGGGAAAATCATGAAATGGATTCAAATACCTAGCTAATAAATACCAATACTGATTATTGGCTTGAAACAGGAAACAGCTGTTTTGCATTTGAAACTCCTGCATTATAATAATAGGGCCAGAGCATACAGTAACAAAAATGACTATTACAAAATTAGTAATGTAATTTAAATACTCGGTAAAAGGTATTGTATGAGGATCTTGATGACCTTCCTAAATAATAAGACTGTTATTATTTTCCTTCATTGTCAGCTGTGAAAAGATCAAAACTAGCCATGCATTTCCTGGTCATTCATTGCTTTCCTACCTTATCTGTGGCACTCTGCATCAGACTTACCTACTGGAGATGTTCAGTTCAGTAGTTTCATGTTTTGAAAGGAAGCAAAACAGCTTGACACGACAGTTTTTAGCAATCATTATTTAAAAAGTGGGACTATTTTCACATGCATTTGGTGCATTAGTGAATACTTCCAGCAGTGGTGGGTTATACTGTATGTAGGCTTGAGCCAAGATAGACTACAGTGTTTGCCACTGCAACCGTGTGGCTCACCAGTGTGTTTTTAATAGGTTATGGACAACAACAGAGCTATCTGCCACAGAGGGACAATGCTTAATAGCAGGATACATTCAGTGTTTATTTTGGTCTTTTTCCCCAGTACCTCCTTGACCAGAAGTGCTCTAACCTCAGAGGCTGCTTCTGTTTTAGTAGCAGGACCTTAAAAGTGCATTTGTCTAATTGTAACGAGGCAGTGAAGCATAAAACTGACAACACACAGAGCAACTGGTTTGTTTACAGCAGTGACCATACTAATTGAAAAGATAATAAACTCTGAGCAGAATAGGCCATAAAACTCAGTAGTGAATTATGAGTCTGTGCTCCACTGCCCTCAGTAAACTAATCAGCTGCTGTGTTTCCACATCAGGCCTGAGTGGGCCCTTATCAAAACTAGGGTCAATTCAAAATGTCTGTGGAACACGATATCAAGCCCAGTTTGTTAATCTGAAGCTACTGCTGCATTCACAAACCGCCTCAGCCGCAGTACCATCTCCAGTGGTTGGGGCTCTGGGACTAACATGATCTGAATGTGTAAGAAAGTATGAGGTTCCTAAAGCACCATAGAACAGAGTCAAGAGGTCATATTACAAAAGATGTCAAACTCTGAAAATCCTGTCTAACCATCATCATCAGTATCATAAAAAAATTTTTTTAGGGATTGAAGCTGAAATTTTAGAAGTCAAACATTTTAGGAGATTTTAGAAGTTAATGAAAATCCAGTCTCTGATTAAAGTGATACCTCATCTGGCTGAGGGGCCAAAGTACCTCACTGAGCCACTTCACTTTCTTCTCAGTTTTGTACCAGCTTGCTTGTCTTTGGGCAGCAGCTGCTGAACTGATAAAATCTGTACACCCACTAACTTTAAACGTTTAAATGGTCTTAACAACAGAGACCAAAAATATTTCCTTAATGAGCTGCTACTCTCCCTGTACAGCTCAGTACTGAAAGTTTTTTTGGATTTTGTTACATGGAATATATTTGTCTTGATAGTTTTTGGATAAATGATGCCCATTATGAGTTTGAGACCAAGGGGAGCTAATTAGAGATCCCAGATAACCACAGCTCTAACTCTGACACACTTTAGAAAAACAGAGCTGAGTTTCTGCAGTGAAAACTGTCACATTCTAACCACAATTATAAAAAGTCAAGGTTTTATGCAACATTTCCCAGAAAGCCCAAATAACCTGGAAATAAAATATACAAGTTTGTAGTTGTTAAGAAAGTTTGTTTTATTTCATGGGTAAGAGCAAGAAAAGATCACTGGAGTCACTCATAGGGCAATGGGAGGCTGCACTGTCTGACATATCCCGTAGTCCACTACCATCGCTATAGTCTTGAGGGTCTTGAGTTTACAGGTCATTTGAGCTGTACCAGTGAACAAGGCAATCCACTTCCATCCTATAGGCAGACTCATACCATCCCGGATGAAACTGATGAGGGCGGTGCTGTCTGCAAATTTCAGGA